AGAAGACACATCCAGGCCAGAAAGGGAACTCTATTACAGGCCTTATCTCTGGTAATCCCACAAGTTTTCCATCTCTGTTCTAAAGCATACTTTTAAATCCTCTATAATGGACTCGTTTTCTTTGCAAAACATTTTCAGCATTTGAATCCATACAAAAAAGACTGGACATTGAAATCCTGACCACGGAAACAAGAATGAGGATGATACAAAGTCACACAAATTGATTACAGGTGCATAACTGATCAAGAATGTGATCCAAACCTATCACCAAAATGGTGATACAGTGTTGCCTCCTGTAAACAAAAGTCTCCCTTGTATACATGTATATATGGGACTCCTGCCTGTGTTAGCAAAGAGGATGCGTGTAAAGCTTTAACTTTGCTCAAAGTTATTCTCCCTCACCTACAGTACATCTCGCCTGCCACTTTGTTTCCAGTATGTTCTATAGGCTGCTACGGTTGATTGCATTGCTCTTTGAAGGCTTTCCTATGAAAAATGACTAGGCTGCAATTCGTATTTATGACATGACACTGGGTTTGGTATATCTGAAACTATCCAGTTTAATAAAAAGAAAAATGAACTGCCAAACGCTCTGGTTATAAAAGCCAGCCCAGGACAATCAATCTGTCAATGCAAACACCTCCAAGGAATAAAAATCTGCCTTGAAAGTGGACTGCTGCTTTCCAGGGCCTAATCATAACTGAAAGGCACAACCGAAATTGCAAATGCATAGCCTCCGTAAGGAAATGAAGGGTTTGTTACTTTTCACGTATGCTGCACATAATTAACATCACTCTGAAACTCAAAGCAACTCAAAGCCTACTTCCCCAGTGACTCCTGGGTGAAGTTTGCTTTTAGAAGGCCATAAACTCAGAGGACAAACTTCTAACGATTTTCTTTTTCTTTGTGAGACTTAAAGAGAATCAGGATGGCTTAAACTTCGAGGAGGGGCAAAACATGTTAATGTATTAATGGCAAAAGTCATGAAAAGTCTTGTGGCACACCTGTGATTTTACTTTTCCATGTTGCTGGCTGAAAGATGCTCAGTGAAAATTATACTGTAGTGTAAACCAAGGGTGAGGAGCCTGGTGTTTCTGCTATGTTTTTGAATTACACCTCTCATTATGGTTGACTATTACTAACCACTATTACTAACTTTATGAGCTATGAGACATTAATACCAATAATAGTAACTGATGAACATTTAGCAGAGATGTATGTACAGGTTAGGGGCCTCCTGGTGGTGCAGCAGGTTAAACCGCTGAGCCGCTGAACTTGCTGACCAAAAGGTTGGCGGTTTGAATCCAGGGAGCCGGGTGAGCTCCTGCTGTTAGACCCAGTTTCTGCCAACCTAGCAGTTCGAAAGCATGCAAATGTGAGTAGATCAACAGGAAGATAACAGCGCTCCATGCAGTCATGCCAGCCACATCACCTTGGAGGTGTCTACAGACAACGCTGGCTCTTTGGCTTAGAAATTGAGATGAGCACCACCCCCCCCCCAGAGTCAGACACAACTAAACTTAATGTCAAGGGAAACCTTTACCTTTACAATGTACAAGTCAAGTATCCCTTATCTGAAATGCTTGGAACCAGAAATATTTTGAATTTATTAGGATTTTGAAATACCTGTATTTTCATGTACATGCATAATTAGATATTTTGCTAACAGGGCCCAAGTCTAAACATGTAAACCATTTATGTTTCATATATATACAGCCTGAAAGCGATTCTATACCCAGTATTTTTAATAATGCTGAGAGCTGGACTTCAACAACATCTGTAGTGCCATAGTTTGTCCAATCTATTTTGTGATTATATCACTTCACCCTGCATGGCATATTGGGTGGGTGGTGGTGGGGAGTCCTCATATGGATGAAGGCTCTTCCATAAAGATCTCACTTTAACTGTAGGCTGACAGGCATATCAGCAGGAAAGAAGGGTAGAACTCTTCTCTACTTCTAGATTTCCATAATTAAATTATGTGCATTCATGAATGTATAAAAGAGGATTCAGTCATATGAACTCCCAAATATAGTGTACAATAGCATATGTTTTTGCTGTCTCCAGAAGTAGTGGTGAACCAGACAGACCAGGTATTTGCCAACACCCAGAAGCACTATTTTGATGAGAGTCACAACACCCATCTTTAATTCATGATTTATTTCTTTTTTGTAAGTTGTACAGCTGTGCAACTGCCAAACAAATACCAGTTTTATTCATCTATTCTACTCCACCTTGACTGCATAAAGTGTATTGTTTCCACAGATGCAGACACACAGAAGTAGATGACAGCCAAAGACACAGAAAATAGCTATTATGCTAATGAAACCTAGGGCAGCACAAACCATTACCTTCATGGAGGGTCACACTGTGAGGATATGGCTAAATTCCCCTACCTTCCTTCCAAAGATCACATTAAATCAGACCTACTGTGCTCCTTTTGCCATTAGGTGGCAATTTAATGGTACATAAGCAGTGAAAGGGAAGCTGAATTGGCAGGGGCTCCATTGCTAAACCTGTTCTACAGACATCCATCTCAGGAAGTATGTATGTTGCTGCCAGTCTCTGGTGAAACCTGGTGCCCAAGAATTTAATTCACTTCCCTAAGTGGCCTTATTTATTTATTTTATAATGACAAGCAGTAGAAGCATCATGAATCAAGGGACATATCCCAAACACAAGAAATAAATGGTTTTGAACATTCAAACCTTTATTTAAAGGATATGTCCTTTCCTCTGATAAGCACTAGCTCAACCTCAGACTAAATTTCACTGGGAATAATACCTTACACAGGGACATGGCCTGCTCTGGAGTAACACCCCATTTATGAAATGCCGTCTCCTTAGAGACCCAGATAGTGCCAGTGTTTTTCTTCTTTTAGGGAACTATATTTTTTTCCCGTTTCAGGAGTGACTTGAGAAACTGCAAATCACTTCTGCTGTGAGAGAATTGGCTGTCTGCAAGGATGTTGCCAGGGGATGCCTGGATGTTTTACCATGCTGTGGGAGGCTTCCCCCATGTTCCTCCATGGGAAGCTGGAGCTGACAAATGGGAGCTCACACTGCATCCCGTATTCGAACTGCCTACCTTTTGGTCAGCAGTCCTGCTGGCACAGGGATTTAACCCACTGCGCCACTGGGTGCTCCTAGGGATCTAGTTAACACATGACTTTTTAGTAATGTCTTATTACATTTCTTAAATGCCCCTTCTACACTGCCATATTAAATCCAGATTTCTGCTTTGAACTGGATGATATGGCAGTATAGACTAATATAATCCAGTTCAAAGGAGATAATCTGGATTTTATATGGCAGTGTAGATGGGGCCAAAGTGTACACATACATGGGTTTAATCACTTTGGCCTTTCCTGTTGTTTCCATCTGCTGACTTATTTACTATTTTTAATCCTATGAAAATAATTGATTTTATCTGAAATAGCTTTAACTGTATGCTGCCTTAGGATCCCATGATAGATGGCAGGACAGAAATAAAGGAATAAGTTTAGGTTGCAGAAGACCTACACTTCAAACTGAAGCTTTAGTGCAGAGACGGGAAATTTCTACCCTCCAACTGTTGCTGGATTGCAGTTTCATCAGCCTCAGTCAGCATCACTAAATGGGATTTCAGTCCAACAGCATCTGGAAGTCAAACCATGTCTATCCCTGTTTTTGTGCTATTCTACAAAATTCCTATACCTAGATAGCCTTGGGATTGCTTTCAATGTGTTAAAATTTATCCACAGGGATTAAGCTCACAGTTGTTCATAAACACTCTTGAAATTAACGCATTGCCCTTTGTTGTGGCTCCAATGTAGTTTGAAAACAGTCTCCACAAAGCAGTTTAGGGCAATGTTATTTGTTTGATTATTGTATATATAATCTTCATTCTCTCTCACTGGAGCTCAGGGCAGTTGACAGCCCCCACGCTAGATTATCCCCTATTACAAGTATCTGAGAAAATACAACAAAGCCAACAACAAAACAGATAAAACTCTGGCTTATAATTGTGACAATCCTGCTTTAATACCACATACAGGCTGCAAAGTTAAGAATCACCATAGCTGTGCTGTGTTTTATAATCAACATTGTCATACAGACTGGTTAAAGAAGACCAGAGGGAGGAGGCAAAGGAAACCACCCTCAAAGGCTTGCCCCTGTGATGCTCTGGCACAAAGAGTTTTGTACAATAAAGGTAAAGGTTTCCCCTGACATTAAGTCAAGTTGTGTCCGACTCTGGGAAGTGGTGCTCATCTCCATTTCTAAGGCGAAGAGTCGGCGTTGTCCGTAGACGCCTCCAAGGTCATGTGGCTGGCATGACTGCATGGAGCACCATTACCTTCCCGCTGGAGTGGTACCTATTGCATGTTTTTGAACTGCTAGGTTGGCAGGAGCTGGGGCTAACAGCAGGAGCTCACCCCACTTGCCGGATCTCAACCGCTGATCTTTTGATCAGCAACTTCAGCAGCTCAGTGGTTTAACCCGCTATGCCACTGGAGGCTCAATACTCAATACAATAGTACAATACTCAACCACAAACTTAACAACTGTGGCGGCTGGTTGAACAGCAATAGCCCCTACCATGCAGGACTGCCATTGTAACAGCCTAAGAAAGGATGCTGATGTAATACTGTATCAGGAACACCGTACTCCTTAAATAATCTGCAGCAGCCCATTAGTCAATTATGATAAGCCGTGTGTGTGCCTGTAAAACATCACTTTGTGAATCAGTCCAAGTTGACCCATAAATGATTACATTTCCCCAAGTGCCTAATTATAAACAAGCACTTTCACATTACATAGATATACTATTATGATTCCATGGCTCCATTCTGAGATTCCACAATAGAAGCCTGTGATCTGAAGTTTAAAGAGTGGCGTTTCAGATTCTTAGGGACACTTGCCTAACTCCTGTGATCATGCAATATGGGCCAAAATACAATTAACCCAGGTAATACCTATGATTAACATCAATCAGGCTAACACTGTGAAAGACAGAATTACCTGTGGTCCACTCAGGGATTCAAATAAAGCCTAGGCAAGCCTTCACAGGGTGGTAGACTCTAGAAAAGGATACAATTGACATAATTCAGAATCTTGAGGATAGAGCAGCGTTTACGTTTCAGAACAACAGGTCTTGAGTGAATAACTTTGTATTAAGATACATAATGACTTTCTTTAGCTCTTGGAGCTTTAAAAAGGAGACATCTAGCTCTTTATGTTTAATCTGGATATAACAGAAGGCCTAGTGAATGTTTCCATCTGAATCCTACGCTCTTGCTGCCCCAGGTAGGATAGCTTGATAGCGCACGTTATTTTTGCATGGCATTGTTATTGTCTATATTTACCTTTTTTGCAAGTTTTATGATTTGCATATGTGTTTGCATTTTAGGAAGTGCTAATTCCATCAGAATTTAGACAATGTGAAAAGCTCTCTAAAATGTACAATTTTATAAAAAGAGTTTACAAAGGAGTTCAATGTTCAGGTGAGGGAAAAACAAATTTAACATGAATTTCAGGGACTTTGGTTATTAGGGAGAGTTGCTAAAGTTCAGGAGGAGCTTGTGAAAACTGGGTATTCCCCATTTTAAGAAAAGCTATTCTGTAAAAGAGTGTTTTGAGATCCAGGAATCTAGGAAACTGACATTCCCATTGCATTTCCATGTTTGAATATATTATTAAAAATTATCACCAAAATGAATGAACAGTGAGAGTCTCATGGTACAATTAGCACTATAAATATATAATAGTTGAATGGGAGGGGGCTTTCTTCATGTAACTTCTAAATTATGGTGGGTTTAAGGTTAACATATCACAGGGTTTTCTTGGCAATATTTATTCAGAGCAGGTTTGCTGTTGCCTTTCTCTGAGGCTAAGAGTGTATGACCAAAATAGCCTTCCCCAAGCCCATGCCTCCAGATGGGCTGGGCTAGTGGTTCTCAACCTGTGGGTCCCCAGATGTTTTGGTCTTCAACTCCCAGAAATCCTAACAGCTGGTAAACTGGCTGGGATTTCTGGGAGTTATAGGCCAAAACACCTAGGGACCCATAGGCTAAGAACCACCGGTCTGGACTCTAAATCTCACCATCCCCACCCAGCACTGGCTAGAAATAGTGGGAGATGGAATTCAACACATCTGCAGGTTGGAGGAAGCTAATCTAGGAGGAACAGGATAATTCTGTACATTTTAGAAAACATTTTAAAAAGGTTTCTAACTTTATGAGACTAAGTACTGGGTTGTTGTAGGTTTTTCAGGCTGTATGGCCATTTTCTAGAAGCATTATCTCCTGACATTTCGCCTGCATCTATGGTAGGCATCCTCAGAGGTTGTCTTCCATAGATGCAGGTAAAAGGTCAGGAGGTAATGCTTCTAGAACATGGCCATACAGCCTGAAAAACCTACAATAACCCAATGATTCCATCCATAAAAGCCTTTGACAATAGATTAAAAGTATTGCTGTCTCAAGCCATATGAAACAAATTTTAATCTAAACCAGTATTTGAGGAAACATGAGCATCAGGCAGCATTAATGGTAAATGTGATTTCCAAACCACTGTTATGTCGATACTAATCAGAGCTGTTCCTGCATTGAGTGGAACAAGAATGCAACTGCATTGATTTTTAATGAAAAACCTAAAAAAATTTAAAAGCCTGTCTGAGTTATCAGTATTGGCTGGTAAACAAAGAAAAGAAACACAATTTACATCTAAAGAAAACTTCCAGCGGAGTTGCACTTTGAACTCTGGCAATTGCATCTTAGCTTTATAGGTAGTTTAAACAGATCAAGAGTCATATGCATACTGTGGACTTTCACCACTTTTAATCCAGAAAGAAAATATATGAAGTAGTCCAACTCATCATATTAATCCAGCTCTAGTCTCCTGGCATTGCAGTGATCCCTTTACACAGCTCCTGCATGCTTGAGTCTAAATAATTTCCAATTTGTAATAATAATAATAATAATAATAATAATAATAATAATAATACTTTATTTATAGGCTGCCCTATCTCCCTGAGGGGACTGTGTCACAGGGTTTTCCTGGCAAGATTTATTCAGAGGGGGGTTGTATTTGCCTTCCTCTGAGGCCAAGAATGACTTGCCCAAGGTCACCAAGTGGGTAGCCATGGCTGAGTGGGGATCCAGTCCACGGTCTCCAGAATCATAGTCCACGCTGGCTCTCTTAAACCAAAACTTCTGACTTACTGAGCCACAGTTACTCATGGTAAGGGTGCAGCATTAGGTATTCCTGACAAATCCCAGTTTCACTCCTGCAGCTGTCAAAGGTATTAGGACAATTTTCTTGCCAGACATTAGAGACATCATCACTAAGACTTAGCACCTGCAAGACAGCAAAGATCTGGAATGGGAGATTGGCAAGATGATGTGAACTACACCTTGGCAGCACAAGTAACATCTGTCCTAATGTTCTCTAGCTCACCCACAATGCAGTGTGTCCCTCTCCAACTCATGAAGAGGATGGAGCAGTTCTTCCTAGGACTTTCAATCCGATAAAGATCAATGAGTACAAGAAACCAGCAAGTTAACAAAAACTGGGCTGATATTCAGCTCACTCCATGCCCTATCCTTTACTGAATGACCACTTGCTATAAGCCAGCATCTCCAACAGTACCCAAGATCATTTAGGAGACCGCACCCACAACATGAGCACTTGCCTATCTAGTGCTCCTCTCTTCTTATGACATAGAACAGCGTTCTCTGCAGGTGTCACTGCATGGCAATTGCCAGAATTTATCACCATTGACAGCAGGGGATGCTTGGAGCTGCAATCTAATAAAATCTAAAGGGCTGTATGATTTTCACAACCCTGGCACAAAGGATTAGTATGAAACTTTAACTTAAGTGCTACATATTCCCAGGCCACTGAAAAGGACAGAAAATACTCAGCCCAAAAAAATCTTCAATTTCCTGTTGAAAACTATGGAAATATGATCAAATGAAAGCCATGTACTTCATTCTGTTATAACCTAAACCAGTTACATCATCAAGATGAATAAGATATTGTATGGGATGTAGTCCAAAACCTCTGAACAGATTCTCAGCCTTGGAGCTAGAAACATGTACAGGAAACATTGGGCTATTGGTAATTACTGTCTGAACAAACTGTACTTTTCATACAACAAACATAATTTAGGCCAAACAAAATTATACATAATATGCTTTATAATTCCTAAAATAACAAAGTGATTTTCAATTTGCAAAGGATACCTTTTTCAATTGAAAAATCTCCCCATGAAAAGAAGAGAAAACATTTTCTAAAGCACAGTTTCAAGGCCTCCGAATGGTTACTTCTCTAGCAGGAACCATTACATCCTGCTTACACTTCTGTGCACTGCTGCTTTTTCTTGACTATGGAATACAACCCAATTCATTTAAGTATGATATCACAGCAACCGGATTCATCTAGGAAGAACACTGGGAAGCACATCTACAATAATTGGGAATCACCACCAATTATGACCTCAATTCCATGGTCAACAAGCTGGGTCACCAGTGAAGCAAAGTGCAGCCCCTCTCCAAGGGCATCAGGGATGGCTCTTCATCCATAATACTGCCTCCCCCACATCAGGTATGAGGAAGAGTCCTACTCACCAGAGAGTTTGGGGAAGTTCTGCCTTACCCCCAGAAATGTTACAAATATCCCAAGTATCTGCTTCCTCTTAAGGGGAATGTAAACTGAGCTTACGACAACTAGAAGCTAGGCACAGAATCGTACTAAAACCAACCACAGATACAAAACAACCCATGAATGTTTTGCCATGAAACTTGATCTCTTAATATATTGACATTGATTTGTTTGCAGGAGAGGTGTGCCGGTTATTAAGACTAATTGTTACTTGTCTTGTGTTCTCAGGAACAGTTTACTTAATACCTTGCTATACATCCTTCCTTAATGCTGGCTATTGACAAAAAAAACTCTTCTGTATCTCAATAAGAAGCTGCCTGCAATGTGTTCTTCCTCTCAAACCATTCCTTCCCCCCTTAACTAGATAAGACAGTCCTTGAGTAACATTCTATATTATCCAATGGAGTCTGCCCCCCCCCCCCCCCGCCCAGATCCACAGCTGTTTCATTACATTGCGATGTTTTGGTGCTAAATTCGTAAATACAGTAATTACTACATAACTTTACCATGTATTGAACTGCTTTTTCTGTCGATTTGTTGTAAAACATGATGTTTTGGTGCTTAATTTCTAAAATCATAATGTAATTTGATGTTCAATGGGCTTTTCCTTAATCCATCCTTATTATCCAACGTTTTCGCTTATCCAACGTTCTGCCAGTCCGTTTATGTTGGGTAAGTGAAACTCCACTGTATATACAAATTCAACTTAAGAATAAACCTATAGAACCTGTTCCTAAATTGGGGACTGCCTGTATATGTTTTTTCTTTCCTGTGTCTGTACTCCAAGTTTGATTTCTAGCCAAACCAGGTGTAGTGCAGCAGCCATACTAGGTTATTTCCCCCACTGCATGACAAGAGAACATTAATTCTTTCTTCTCTTGGTTATGCAAATAGATATCCACAAAGAGAGAAAGTTCCTTTCCTGCAAAACTATTTTACTTGACTCTCAGAGCACTGTTAGAACCACCTGTAAAAACTGTGACTTAAAAGCATGCAAACCACCTTGTGTTTATACTAGCTTTTACAAGTTCAAACACACAGTTTCTGTATTGTAGTGCCAGTACCCTAAAATGATAATACAAGAATGTCCTGACTTCTACAAAGTACCAGATGTGTGTGGGATGATAGAAGCTACTTTGAACAGAAATACATGGAAAAGCTATAATTCTCTAAGAGTAACAATAATGATGCTAATACAACATAAGCAACAGTAGTAATAGCAACCAATTGAAATGACTGTCCAAAGCCAAATGATTAAACTGAGGCAATCATACTTTGAACATGAGATTATTATTTATTATTATAGATTTATTTATTTCTGTCCTGATTTTCTCCCTGCAAGGTGACTCAAAGTGGCTTACAACCTATAAAATCTGACTGTTACAGACAAAATACAACACACAGACACACACACACA